ATTCAATTATTTTAAGTTTGTCTGTAACTAATAAAATGTATCTAAAATAAATAAATAAAATGTATTTTTCATTTAAAGTTATCAACTTGGTAAAATTGAGGAATTTCTTATTGAATTTGGACCAGAGATGTTTCGAAATTTCGATTTTCGATTTTCGTTTTTCGATTTTCGAGGTTTTTTTCCTTTCGATTTTCGATTTCCGATTTTCGAAATTTTGTGATATTTTCGATTTTCGATTTCCGAATTTTTGAAAAAATTTGAATTTTTGGCGCCAAAGTGGAGGATTTTTGGCTTCTTTTTTGGTCATTTGAGTTTAACTCTGCCTTGACCTAAAAGAAAAGAAGGAATAAAAAATCAATAATAAAGTTCTTGGTTTTTTAAATTTCTAAAAATTTTTGCCTTCGATGCATTAATAATTTTTTGAATAAATTTGATATTTTAATTATAACATTATGTTAAATTCATAAATTATTTTAGTTTTTCTTATCATTAAATTTCTTTGTTAAATATTTGAATTATGTCAAACAACGATTCGTGGTGGTTTTATTTTGAAAGACTTGAGAATTCACTTGTTCGATGTAAGGCAGAAGATTGCAAATGGGTAAGAGATCAAGGGGTCACTAAATCAACTACAACATTAAAACATCATCTTTCAACAAAGCATCCAGATCTTTACAAGATATATCAGGAAGCGAAATTGAAAAAAGACGCAAAAATAAAAAAAGCAGCAGAGAGTCAGCCAAAATTGTCGTTTAAAAGAGCTACTAAAGAAATAGAGGTAAAATTTCAATTCAGAACTGAATTATGTTAGTTTAAGGACATTCCCTCTACATCAGCAAAAAGACCTCAATCTGTTTTGGATGAACAACCGAAGATTACCCAGGCATTCAGTAAGATAAATTTAAAATCGATATAAAAATTTAAAACAATAAATTAAGCTGAATGGACACAAAAAGGCGAGAAATGCCAAAGAGCCGATAAGGCTTTCGTTGAAATGTTATGCGTAGATGGACTGCCGCTTTCTTTTGGAGACAAATCTGGATTTAGAAATTTTTGTAAAATGTTGGAACCTAGGTGGAAAATAAGGTTTCATTTCAAAATAAAGGGGTTTATTGTCAATTATATTTAGGGGTAGAAATTATTACACAAATGTTTGTTTACCCGAAATTTTTGAAAAAATGAAAAAACGGATTAGTGATGATTTAAGTGAAATCGAGTTTTTATCTCTGTCTGCTGATCTTTGGTCTTCTACTGATTTCAAACATAACTTATTAGGTTTATTTATACATTTTAAATATAGGTACAAATTTTTAAATTAAGGATTGACAGCACATTTTGTTACACACGATTTTAGTATTGGATGGCTTGTGCTTGGATGTATCCCTATTAAAGAAACACATAAAACTGGAAGTGTAATTGCGGGTAAAATTAATGATCAATTGGCTCTCTTAAATATTCCAAAGGAGAAAATACACGTGTTAGTGCGTGATGCAGGTTTTATTTTTAACCAATTAAAAGGGATTTTTAAAAATTAAGGTTCGAATATGATTTCGGCTACAAAAATTCTAGAAATTTCTGCGGTCACTTGTTTTGCCCATGTTATTAATTTAGTTGCAAAAACTGGTGAGAAAGAAATTTCAATGGATAGCTTGCTTATTGAAAATGCAAAAAAACTTGTCAGAAAAATAAATAAATCTGGGATAAATAGAGAATATTTGAAGCAATTACAAAACTCTTTGAATATTCCTGCTACGACACTAAAGAAGGTTTGATTCAAAAATAAAAGCAAAAGTATTAATTAAAATCTAGGGTATAGAGATAAGATGGAATAGTATGTACTTAATGCTTGAGTCTTTATATAACAACAGAAACGCAATAGATATGTTTGTTGATTCTCGAGAAGCAGTTCAGGTTAAGCTTTACTCTTTATAAATTTAGCATTTTATCTTAAGTTCAACAAAAACAAGGACCTTCCTAAATTTACTTTGGTCGATTGGGAAAAAATAAAAAAGATAATTGAGTTGCTGAAACCCCTTTATACAATTACATTAGAAATTCAATCAAGAAGTGTTTTGATTTCTTCTATAATTCCATATTATTGTTGGCTGAAGCAAGAACTTAAAAAACTTGCAGACGATTTTGATGCAACTTTGGCAAGAACTAGCATGCTTGAGAGGCTTGAATGTCTGATGAGTGAATGGAAAAGAAACAAGTATAAATAATCGATTTGCTTTTTATATAAAATTATAGAAATTTGGTCATATCTACAATTTTGGACCCAAGATTCAAATTAAAATTTTTTGACCGTGCGGATTTACCAGATTTTCAAAACTGGATTGAACAAGAATTGACAACAGAACGCTCTTCCCCTCCCAAATCTATTGAGGCCCATTCATCACCTGATCATTTTTTGAGTGAATTACTGGTATTTTTCATTAAATCAATCGTTTAAAGCCCATGTATTTAGGAGGAAAGTCAGTCGAGTCAAAGTCAAGGAACAATTGACACAGAATATTTCGATGGATTGAATCAACTTAGTCGATATCTACACGAGCCAGTCATCGCATTAAGAAGTAATCCACTTGCATTTTGGAGAACTAATCAAGAAAAATTTAGCGAGTTATCATTTCTTGCTAAAAAATATCTTTCAGCCCCACCTACAAGTGCAGAATCGGAAAGATTGTTTAGTTCTGCTGGGTATATTGTTAATAAATACAGAGGATTACTTTCTCATGAAAATTTAGAGATGTTATTGTTTCTTAACAAAAATTTAGAGTTGTATAATTTTGATTATTGATATTACATGATAAAATTTTGTAACTTTCTAAAATTTTTAAAAATTTCGATTTTCGTTTTTCGATTTTCGATTTTCGAGGTTATTTTTCTTCCGATTTTCGATTTCGAAGATTTTGAAAAATATTTTCGATTTTCGATTTCGATATTTTTGAAATTTTTTCGATTTTCGATTTCCGATTTTCGAAGATTTTTTTATTTCGAAACATCTCTGATTTGGACGAGAAAAAAATGTTTTTTCAAAAATTGTTACCATTTCTGGAGAAGGTGAATTAATTGAAAATTTACTAATTTTGAAGTAGATTTTGGAATAGTATATCGCTAGTTCACTAAATACTTGTTAAAGCAATTTTTTATAATTTATTTTTGATTTACCTAATTTAAAATATTAATTTTTAGAAAATAAAAAAGATATTGAAGCTGATGAATTACTTCAGAAAGAATTCCTCAAAAAGGCAAATTTGGGTGCCTATTTGCTTAATTATGCTGGAATATGGACTTTAGGCATTGATTTACTTCCAACAATTGCCAAACAAAATATACACTTATTTGTTTACAGAGGGTGCTATTGTTCTATGAAAGCATGGGTCGATTTTATAATATTTAAGAAAATAATTTTAATAATAAATTTCGAGGAATAATTAAATTTTTGCTAAAAACTAAAAATTTTTTAATCATTTTATATCATAAATTTCTTTGGGAGAAATACTTTTTAATTTTATCTTTATTTACACATTATATCTATTAAGTTTCGAAGACCATATAGAAATATTCCTCAACATACATCCCGCATCGATACAGGCAGTAATCAATGCCGATCCAAACATATATCCAAAACAATTACTCCATTGAAAGGATTTAAGGCAAAGAAAAGTATTGTGATTAAACTAACAACAGATAAATATTCACGAAAAGCTGAATTTGCATTACAAGCCAAAGATGGCTCAACTCTTGTGGATATTTATATTACTAATACAACGATATTATTTGGTCCTGGAGATGTAAGAAATTATTAGATGGAAATTTTCGTTAGATTAAGTTCAATAAACAAATAAGTGTTAATAACGAAAAGATAAAGCGATCAGTCGGTGATCAAATTGCTGAGCGATTAGAAACCTTCATAGAGAGCTTTCAAAATCATGTCCCATTCAATTTTTATAATTTCAGAGATAGGTTCAGCTTCTTTACTTTTTTATTGCAGAGTATAATTGAAGTAATTTTTTGTAGGCTGAAGGTCATTGGTATCCATCTAAAGTGAAATTAGCTGATTCCCAAGAAATATTAGAAGCTGGAAAAGAAATTAAAATTACAATTCAAGCATTTGTTTATCACATTGTTATATTAATTAGTGGATTTCCTAAAATGGTCAGCACATTTTGGCCTTTCTTTTGGTGGAAACAAATGCCTTATATGGCTGTTAGTAATGTATTAATGACTGGAGATTTTGCACTCTTGCGATCAGTTGAAATGATTGATTTTGATGTTAATTAATTAAATTTTAATTTTTCTTTTAAATTAAATTTAAGGATGTTGAACATATCCCTTGCCCATTTTCACTACATCTTGATAAAGTAATAAAAAATAAAACTCGGATAGCTTTTCGTGGAATTGTCCACGAAGATGCCAAAAGTATTTCCTTTAATTTTTTGCATGATGCACCTAAATGGCATAAATATTGTAATTTAATCATATTATTTTTAATTAATGGAGAGTTGATTTAGAAAAATTATAAAGGACACAAGGGTTATATTATATTGAAAATGTCTTGGCTCAGCCTACACCTAATTTTTATTAGTTAGCTTTATTATTATCGGCAAAAGATAATTAAGTTAGCTTTATTATCGGCAAAAGATAATAGATATTTTGAGCTTACAAGATTGCCTATAGAAATTACTAAAAATTTTTGAAAATATCCATTCATTAATTATTCTTAAATTAATATTTCAAATTAAAATTTTTGGATAATTTTAAAAAATACATTAAGTGGGTGCTACTGTGATGCATCTAACTGTTAATTTCACCCGTAATTCAACAAGCTGGTGGTCCTTTTATGTAAATAAATTAAACAACTACTTCCTAAATTGAAATTATTTACATATTAGGGAAGACGAGTACAAACTAACGATACAATACCTGAAATTATTGGCTTTCAAAGAGGAAAACCTTTCGAGTTTATTATTGTTGTCACAGACCATTCGTCAGAAGAAATGGGTATAGTTGTAAAATACTCTGCTTTTATAAATGGTGAATTTATTGGCGGAGTTGAGGGTGATCTTCCAATATGGACTATAAATTGGATTAGGGTATAATTTAATTTTAAATGTTAAAATTAATTTAGGATTAGTTTTGGTTTTTATTTATTTTTAAATTTTAACTTAATATTGAGAATAAGTGATAAATATGTATATGTACCCATCATAATGGAGCTAAACTTTACATGCTTAGATAATATTTTCTGATACCCAATCCTTCCATATATTCAATATAAAATGAGAATTATAAAAAATGAAACAAAATATTAATTAATTTTAATTTTAAGGTAACTGGTCAAATGACTCTTCTACAAGAACCAGTCGTCGATTTCTATTTATGTGTAAATATGTGGAAATAATTTTTACATATTATTTTCTAATTAAAATATTTCTTTTAAATTTTCAATTAAAATATTGTTATTTATTATTTTAGGGAGAAATGGAACATTTTTACAAATTCCAATTAAAGCATCTGCCTTATTATGGATCAAGATATTGCTTAGAAGCTACAGTGCCACCTTATAATGAACTGTCAGAAAGAAAAGGATTCGAAATTAATTTCTTTCACGAATCTACAGAATTTGATGAAAACAGTTAATTTTCATTTAATTTTCCAAAAAGAAAAATTTTATTTAGTTGGAGATACTGTTCTTAGAATGAATTTTGTTTTTGATATTAAAAATGCTTCGAATGATTTACTTTTTCTTGATAGTTATCAACACAGCAAAAACTCTTGGGATGAACTCGAAATTCATCCAAACCCTATTGGACGCTCTGGAGTGACATTTGATATTCGAATTTATGCAACTTCATTTCAATTTCAAATCAGCATAAATAACGGAATTGATTTAATTAATTATAGATATAGATTACCTCCTTGGGCGACAAATTATATAACGGTGTGTTTTTATATTTGGAGAAGAATTAGAAAATATCTCTGAGTTTCTCTTCAAAATTTAGATTTTATGTGGATATAAGCAGTGATTTAATGAGGAAAGCCATTAAATTCAAAAAATTCTTATTGTCGAGCCCTAAGTTTTGCTTAATAATAATCTTCCAAAAATAAAATTCTTACAAAGCAAAAATTTCTATCAGCACTAAAATTTCATTAAATTTTTTTATTTTCTTAATTTTTTAGGTTAGTGGTGATATAAATGGTGTATTATTTGGTAACAAATCGAGTAGATGCAAAGCTTATTATGAAAAGGAAAAAAATACAGAAAAAGCAGAAATCCCGTTCCCGACAGATATTTACCAAATAGACACAAATAATCCATTAAAAAACGGCGATTTAATTAGCATACAAGGAATTGTTAAATTACCAAAAAAATTTCATGAGAATGCAGTAAATATTAGTATAAGTTTTTATCATGAAGCTCTAGAATGGCATACTTCTGGTAAAAAATTTTTGAAATTATTTTAAATAAATATTTAGTTGGACAAACAGTCTTTCAAGCCAATTTCTCAGTAAATTATGTTACATTCAATACTTATATGGTATTTAATAAAAAATATTTTTTAAATATTTTTTTTTTAATTAAATTTAAAGGAGGGCTGGAAATTTAACAAAACAACGGAACCTATTTACAAACTTCGTAGACCTTTGGCAATTGGACAATTATTTGATTTAGAAATATTTATTAATCAAAAAGAATTTAAAATTCATTATGGAATAATGCAAAAAATGAATTATACACAACAATTACCCTCTTGGACTATTCAATATATTAAAGTAATTATTTTAAAATTAAATAATAATGAAGTAATTTGTAGGTTGATAGTGAGGCTTTATCACTTCCACCTAGAGGGCATTATGTTAAAATCGAAAGAATGATGGAAGATTAATTGTTTTAAAAATATAAATAAATATTTTATTTTCTCTATATTTATTTTAATAAAATAAAATTTAAAGCCCATCTGATAAATTAAATTGATACTAAAAATTAATTTTTATTTAAATAAAAATAAATAATTAAATTTTTTATAATAATAATAATAATAATTAAATTTAACAATATACAAATTAAATATTTCTTCCACTTATTAAAACCCAATTATTTGAAGTATATTCCAAATTAGCATCAATTCTAATTTGTTCATCTTTAGGTAATATAGTTAATTTGCTTCCATTAGCAAGTTTAATATCATCAATGCTCGGTAAAGGAATTCCAATATTAAAAGAAGATTTAAAAATAACTTCAAGTATTGGAATACAAACAAGTGAAAATTTGTGAAGAAATCTTTAAAATAAAATAATTAATCATCTCCCCTCTCTCTCTCCCTAAATAAATGGGTGTTGGATGAACTTCTTCAAGGACTTACCAAATAGGCCCTTGAAGATTTATTAACCTTATCAATTAAAAATTCTAAATAATCTCGACACTTTTTCGATGAGTTATGTCGACAAACATGATATTCTGTCTTTTTGTTACACAATAAATTATAGGACTAATTAGTATGTATACAATTCATATGGCAAATTGAAAAAAATAATTTAAATTCACTTTATATTTAATTTAAATTTAATTTAAACAAAACTTACTGTTCAGAAAAGTTTCCAATTGTATTGTTTATTTCAGAAAATTTAACCTAAAATTTTAAAACTTTTTGTATTTATTTATTTTCTATTTAACGCTTGTATATTATTGTAAATTTGTATTTTTACTTGTAAATTTATTAAATTCCCTTTTAATCGAGTGTTCTCAAAGAATGGTTCAATAATTGCTGTTGAATTTGCTGCCAGTCTAGCTAAGACCTAAAATATATTTTAAATATGGTTGAACTTTTATTACGACACCCTGGGACTGAATAGAGCTCATGAATGATGGAATTATTTTTTTTAGTTTTGGCCTGATTTTTGGATATTAGCGTATTTTAAAAATTAAAAAATAGCGTTTGAAGTTTTAAGCGCAAAATAAAGTTTTCAGAGATCCCTGGAGACTTTTTAAATTTAAATATTTTATACATTTTGATTCTCTTGCCAAGGTGAAATAAGTAAATCAACAAAAAATTCAGCTTCCAATAAAATATTATTTTCATTATATTCTGTTGAAGAAATAAATTTTAAAATTGGAGGAAGCATTGAATGGAAATGAAAGTCTATATGTTTGTCTGGATATTCACGTGCTAATATTGGGAAGAAAGTGCCCAGACAGATTTGATAAATATGACAACTGAAAAAAAATAAATTTTAAAGAAAAATATTTTTTAAGTCTATATTTACTTAATGACGCGGGATTTGGAAATACAAATTTTTGAGAAAAATTTCTATTGAAGTATAAATTGATAAGAAGGTTATACAAAGGAATTTAATTTTACAGAAAAATGCTGGTAATTATCCTAAAAATGATAGTTTGAATTAATACCTAGTTTGAAGAAATCTCTTTAATCTCCCACTCGCAAAGTTTGGGCCAATTGTAATTTGAAGAAGATCTGATTTATGTAATGACCAAAGTAAACAATTAGGAATACTACTGTGAATCCAAATCTTTAAATAATTTTAAATAAAAATTTATTAAATTTATTACAGATGCCATCCATTTAATTCCCGATTCTTTAACTGACATTTCTGTTGAAGGCCCAAACGGACAAGTTTCTGAATTGTTTTGTGCTAAAACATCAGTAAATAATTTGGATTCGATAAATGTGCTGAAAAATGAATAGATAATTTTTATTAGGTTGTAAACTAAGTTTTGAGCCCCCCTTGAATTAAGTGTATAAAATAATTATAAAAATTCGACTAAATGTTATCCTAAAATTTTTATGATCCTAAGAGAGTTGCCTATTTTCTGCCAAAAAATCAGAATCATAGGAATAAGTTGGCAGGAGTTAAATATAAAGAATGAACTTAACTAGAAGATTTACTTAAATTTATCATTTTAATATGTATTAAAGATTTTCTGAATAGAAATGAAAATCGAAAATAGATAAAAAATATACGTTTTAATTTAAAATAAATTTTTATTAAAAATATCTTTGCCTTGTAATTTGAGGATCATTATCAAAAGCATAATTCAAAAAAAGTAAATCACCCAAATCAAAGGTATTTGGAAGCGAAATAAGAAAATTATTTAATTGTCCAAGTATTGTTGAATGAACGATTTGGCAAAACTTTTTAAAAATAAAAATAAAAAAATTTTTTTAATTTAAAAACTTGATCGTGTAAAGCTTCTTTCAATGCATTACTTAAAGGAGTTTTAAATAAATTAATTAACCAAGGAATAAAGCCTCCACCTATTTCAATTTGTAGTTTATCTACTGTTTAAAATTTAAAAAATTAATTTATAATTCAGATTTTTTATTTTATTTTTTGTCTTATTCGTTTACTCATAGTTTCGTGAAAATTAGGGTTGGGGTTTTCGAGTTGGGCCGACGTTCGAGTCATTTTTTTAACCAAAATCGATGCCAAACTCGATCTTTCGGACCGGGCCGAATCGGGTTTCCAACCCTAGTGAAAATTAATTTTATATTTTACTTTTTGTTTCATGTTTTGATAAATTGCTTCGTAAACATCGAAATTCTATTTTATAAATTTCAATTAAAAATTTATTTCCTAAACGAAAATTAATGTCCTTATTTAATTGTCAAGTGCCAGCAACCGACAGACAAAAGGGCATGTCTGGGTGATGACTTTCTCGTGTTTTTTTAAATAATTACTTAATTTAAATGCCCTTTTTAATAAAAATTATTTTTTTAATTGTCTAGTTAGACAGTCAGAAATTTTTAAAATTTGCACTTTTTAACTAAAAACAAAAATTACTTTAAAAATATTTCAATGGGAAAATAAAAAAGGAAAATTTAATGTCGGTGAAAAAAAAAGATAAAAGAGATAAAAATAAGAATTATGAAATTTTGTTTTTTAAATAAGCCGGTATTTAATTGGCTTTATTTATAAATAAAAAATAAATTTATTTACTACTAAAAATAAATAAATTTTTAATTTTAAAAATAAAACAACCCCAATTTTCTCTAAAAAAATGAATAATAATATTCAAATTTTAATTTTTATTTCCCTCCTTTTTACTTTTGTCTATTCTGTTGAATATAAAGGAACAATAAAGGAAAAATTTCCTCTTTCAACAAAAGCTTTAAAAGAAAATAATTATTCCAAAGATTTCACTTTACGTTTAAAATCTTCACGACCTGAATGCCCTATTAGCTTAATGGGGAAAATTATTGAAGATACTCATAAAAATTCTGAAGCTAAAAGAGAGGACACAATTTTAGCAAAAGATGTAAACAAAAATAAAGGAAAAAATGTAGAATTAACAATAACTTGTCATGGAATAAAAGTAAAATGTGAAATTAATGAAGAAAAATTATTTTCGGGAAATTTGTGTGAAATTGGGGTTATGTTATTTAGTAAAGAAGAAAAAAAAGTTTATTTTCATATAAATGATGTTGATGGATATGAATTGGATTATTCTGAAGGAATTGGAAGTTCCACTAGTGGTGGTAAACATTAAAAAAGAGAGGGAGAGGGGAATGTACATATAAGTAAATAAATATTCGAGAAAGAATTTTTTAAAAGAAATAAATTTTTTTATTAAATAAAATTATCCTTTTTTAATTTAAATATGTAAATTATTTAATATTTAATTTAATTTGAAAATAAATATTTAAATCTAACCATTTGCCGCATAACAACTAAAAACCTCAAATTGAGGTTTTTCCTTTTGGTGATTAATCCCTAATTCTAAGGCTGAAGTTATATTCTCAGCAACAACTTGTACCCACCCAGATGTTGAAAACTTTGGAAATATTTTTTAAATAAAAAAATTAATTAATTTAGTACTTTAATTCCCAATAACCAATAATAAGCACTCCAATATCCTCTTATTGGGACAATTCCATTTTTTGATACAAATCTGATAGCTCTTGGAGGAGCTAATTGGAAACGGAATTTTGGTGAAACAAATAAAGAAGGCAATATATGTAAATCAGAAACGTTAACTTGTCCTCAAAATAAAATTATTTTTTAATCCGAAAAATAAATATTTTGTTTTTAAGTTAAATATTAGAGATCAAGGTGGACCTGGACCAAGGCCTGGGTTTTTCCTGTACCCAGAGTCAAGTCCAAACATTTTTTGACCTTCCTGGATTTTTCCTGGGCCTGGGTTTTTTCCTGGACTACAGGTCCAGGATTCGGCGCAGGTCAAGAAATCAAAGTCCAGGAACAGTTCCAGGCTTTTCAAGAGTCTCGATCTCTATTAAATATAACACTTTAAAAAGATAATTTGAATTTTAGTATAAAGTTTTGCAACAGAATTTATTTACTAATAAAAATTACTTTTTAATCCAACATATTGCTGTAGGCGTGATAAAAATCAAAATTTTAAAATAAAAAAATACCTGATCCAGGTCCATCATCAATTGGAAGTAAAATATCGGGAAAATTAGTTTTAGGTAATTCTTTGTTGACCAATTTATGGCCAATTAAACCAAAAAAGTCAATCCCATATTTACTTAGCCTAGCAACAAAATTTGGACTTTGTTGAGAAAGGGAGAGACATAAATTTATAGACAAAAATAATGTAAATAAAATAAAATTTAATTTTTGAGGTCCTTTTAACATAAATAAATATTTTCTAAATAATTATTTTTTTAAAATAAATTTTAGTAAAAATAAAAAGAAGTATTGGGGATTATTTTAAATTAATTTAGAGACTAAAAAAATTTATTTTGTTAAAAACTTTTATTTAATAAAAAAAATCTAGTCAATATTTTAACAAAAATTATTTAAAATGTCATGATTATTTTTGAAAAAAAAGATAAAAGATTTTCTACAGTTAAAATAAAAAGAAAAACTTTCACATATTTTAGATAAGAAAAAACGCAAATAAAAAGCATTCTAAGAATAATTTCTGATAAGATAATTATTAATTACTCATAATTAACAAAAAAGTTAGAACAAAATAAAAGAACGGTTTTAAGAAAAAAAATTTAAAGATTAAATAGCAATGTTATCTCCATTATCTTTTAATACCGGAAATTGTTTATGTATATTGACAGAGATTTTGGTAATTAAATAAAAAAAATCAAAAGAGGATTCAAAAAATGCATAAACAAACGAGAAAATAATACTTTGAATAAATTTCAGTGTTTTAGACTAAGCTCGAGAAATTAATGAGATTTTTAAACCATTCTTAAAAAATTTTTAATATAAAATTATTAAAATTTTTTTGACATAAAATAATGATGAATATAATTGATAGGGAATATATGTATGAACATAAATAGGGTTGCAGTTTTCGATTGCATATTTTTCGAGCTTGGTTTTTTTCGATTCGGTTCGTTTTCGAGCTTTTTGAGCTGAAAAGCTCGAAAAGCTCGATCTTTTGAGTTTCGGGTTGAGCGTGCTGGCACCCCGAAACATAAACAAAAGAAATATTTATTTAATGGCAAATTTCTTTGTTGACATTTTTTATAAAAAATATATGTATTTTTCCCTATTGCTTAAGGAAAAGCTTTACGTTTTGGACGTATACTAGAGAATAGGAAAAAATAAAAAAATATTTTGTCGACAGACTTAATCCCTATTTTTATTTTCTCATTTCCTTTCTCTTCATTTGAAAAAAAGTTATGTCTTTGGCTTTGCCGTTAGCTATTTCAATTTTTATTACTTTATTCTCGTTTGTCAATAATTTTTTTAGTCGATATTTAAAATGTTTATTTTAATTATTAAACAATTTTTAATTATTTTTATTTTAATTATTTTATTATATCCTCCATCATTTTATTCAATTGTAACAAGAAAAAGGAAATTAATTTGGTTAACTAAATAAATTTTTTACAAAATTTAAATTTTTTAAAGTAAAAGAACCCCTTTTAATCGAAAAACAACAAATTATAAAGCTTGGAGAGAGCAAATGACTATTTGTGAATTACTTGAAAATTATGACCCGGCAGTTCGTCCATTAGGTCAGATACCTAATGCTGAGAGACGTGGGCCTGTTATTGTAACTACTTCTTTATTTGTTAATTCAATTAGTGCTGTTAGTGAAAGAAATATGGTTATTATTTTAAATAATAACAATATTATTTTATCCTTTTCATCTAATTTTTTGAGAAAATTCAAGTATATTTTGTTAAATTTAAGTATAGCTAAAATTATATCACAATGACTCTCTCCAATAGAAATATCTAGCGAGAAAGTTAAAAAATGAAATTGGAATGCCATTCAGTTTAATTTTTAAAAAAATTAAATAATTTAATTATTCATAAAATTATTCATAAAAATTTATTTATTTATAAAAATATTTAAAAAATATTCCTTATTCATAAAAATCTCGTATATTTTTAATCTATTGTATATCTTTTGTCTCAACATTGTAGACCAACCTATTTGGTAATTAAAATAATATCTAATTTTCTCTAGGAATATGTAGTACAATTTCGTTTTCAACAGCAATGGTTGGATGAACGTTTAGCTTTTAAAATGAGTGAGGCAGCTGATTTACACCAAATTAATCTTGCTAGAGACCAGCCTATTTGGATTCCTGATAGGTAGATAATTAAATATATATTTAAATTATTTATTTAAATTATATTAGTTTCTTTCAAAATGAACGTAGTGGACATTACCATATGTTAGATCAAGAAAATCGTTTTGTACAAGTTGATGTTGATGGACGTGTGACTTATAATAGAAGATTAACTTTGACATTAGCATGTAATATGAATTTACTTAGGTAAATAATTATTGAAAATATTTAAGAAAATTTTTATAATACATATTTCTTTTACTATTTATGTACTCGAATTTCCTCAAAAATTAATTTTTAATCTAATTATACATAAATAGGTATCCAATGGACGTACAACTATGTTTGATAGACTTTGCCAGTTGTAAGTTTGTGATTTATTTAACTACAAAATTTAAAATAAACTTTATTTAGATGCCTATACAAAAAATGACATTATTTATCAATGGGACAATGTCGGTATAGAAATTTCTGATACAGCAAATGGGGCATTACCTAATTTTGAAATTGCTTCATTAGATAATGATACTTGTGATTCTGATACAAATACTGGTTTAAACTATTTAAAATAAAAAAATAAAATATTTTGTAAGGATCATATTCGTGTTTACGTGTTCGGTTAACTTTGAGGAGAGTATTTTCATTCTTTTTACTTCAATTGTATATTCCTTCTGCTATGTTAGTTGGTAAGTGAAATTAGTATATTTGGAACAAAAAATAGTAGCCTTTAAGTGTCATTTCGTACCGAATTTAAGTTTTAGTGGGTTGGTGAACTAAAATATCCGCATAATTATAATTCATATTAATGGGTTGTAGATAAATAATGAGCCCTTTGCGTACAAATAAAACAATACGCTATAACTAAATCTTCTTGCCAATTTCTGAACAGCTATTAATTCCCTTTGATAAAATTTAGTGGCATCTCACATTAATTCTTTTAGAACATTGTTCTTTTATTAAAGAACTTTCCCCTTTTTTAAGGTGTTTCTTGGGTTTCTTATTGGATTGACTGGAAATCCACAGCTGCACGTGTCCCTCTAGCTATAGTTACTTTACTCACAATGATTACTCAATCACATGCAATTAATTCCAATTTACCTCCCGTTTCATATGCAAAATCTATTGATATTTGGATTGGTGGATGTGTTGTTAGTTTTTCCTTCAAAAAATATTTTGATAATTTTTCTACTGAAAAGGTATTTATTTTTGCTTCATTAATTGAATATGCAATTGTTAATTATATGGGAATACTTGAAGAGCATAAACAAATGCGTAAAATAACAATGAATAGAACAAGATTAAGTAATGTATTGGGGGATCAAGTTATTCCAAATTTTGATGAACAGCCAATTAAAAATTTAAATTTTCCAAACGAGAAAAGAGTAAATTTTTTAAATATTTTTTTGGAAAAAATAAATATTTATTTTTTAGAGTTTATTAAGAAAACAAAGAAAAATGCAAGTCGATTTACGTTTTGAAGACCAGGAGGATGAACAAACAATGGAATTGAGTAAAGTAAATAATAATGCTAGTCAAGAACATAAAGAATTATTTCAAAATGTGGAGCCTGGATGGACAATGCAGGTAAAATATAGTATAGTAAAGCAGAGCTGGGCTATAGCTATTTCTCTCTTTTAGCTATTGCAAAAGTTATTCGGCGATTGAGAGCGAACCAGCATTTTTAGTAGACCGGACTGCACAGCCTTAGGAATTAAATATTAAATAGCTATATGCTTTACAATATCTTATTTTGTTAAACTTTAATAAAAAAATAAATTTATTTTAAGGATGTTACCGATTTAGTTTATTTGGGTCAAAGAAAAAGAGTTGAGGTAATTTTTAATTTTATTTAAAAATGAATAATTCTCTTTAAAGTTAGTTCGTTGGTGTTCACTTTTAAATGAACGAGGCCGGGCTGAACGGATAGATATTATTGCAAGAATTTTATTTCCTTTGGCTTTTGCACTTTTTAATGGTGTTTATTGGAAAGTTAGGGATATTTTAATTATTTTTTATTAAAATTTAAATTTTTAAAGGTTTATTTAAATGATGTTTATGATCAGCATCAAATCATATAATAAATAAAATATTTTTTTATTTTAATATTTAACATAAATCCCTATTATTTTTTCTTGTTTTTCTTCAAAAAATAATTTAATAAAAAGAAAATATTTTTCCTCTCGTCATTAATTTAATTTCTTCAATTGCTGCTCCCATAAAGTAATTTACTCGGTGGATGTGCAGAATTAATTGCAGGGGGCAAACTTGGCCCGACTTTAATCAAAGTCCTTCTATACGGAGCTACAGTAATTATTGTAGCTAAGGGATTTAAAACTGGAATCCAATTAATTATAGGCCCCATAAGCATTGTTAGACAAATAAACCAGTCACTTGTAGCATCAACAATAGATGCAAAAGTGACAAACATAAAGACAAGAATATCAAGAACAGGAATTGATGCCTAGAGAAAATAAAATGATTAATTCTTTAAACAATTATTTTTTGCGGTTAAACTAGATTCGGAACTCATTTCTAGGTAATTCCTTGGGATATAAAAATCATACGTTGTAAGTAGGTGTCCACCATAGGTGGGTCGAAACAGTCAGAGGTTTCGGAAATCGGAAGTGACGGAAATCGGAACTGGCTCAAAAGTATGGATTCGTAAATTGAAAATTAAAATTTTATTTCGGAAATCGGAATCCCAAATATACCCAAATATAAAAATTATATTAAATAAAAGTAACTGATTTTGAGGGTATTTAAAATTGAGGTTCAATTCCTCAATGAAGATATTACCATTTTCATCACTAAATATTTTTGTTTGAGGGCTTATAACAAAAAATAATAATTTTAAACAAAGTTTTTTATTTACTTGTATAGCCATATTCATAGTCATTTGTCTGTTTAATTCATTTACTCGAGGACAAGTGCTACTTTGTTTTAAATTTTTGCGTATATAATCAACTATTTTTGAAAAACAAAACCAAATAATTAAATAACAAAATATTCCATAAAGAAAAAAACAAGCAAGCCAAATAACCCAACGAATATCTGACTAAATTTTGAAAAAAAAATTTTAATGTTGGAAGTTTGTCTAAATTTTTAAATTCCATCCCAATGCCGAACTATTCTCTAATTATAACTTTAATTATTTCTACCCTATTTCCATAAAGTGTTGGACGCAATGACATTTTTGTATTATTATTAATTGCTTCTCCCAAAATTCGAAGAATTTGTTCATTTTCTATTTTAGCCTCATAAGATGGGTATCCAATCCAATAAAAAAATGATAACAAAACTCCTTCAGCAATTGCAGCTATTGTTAAAATTAAAAAATAACCTCCAGTTTTTATCTCAATATCTCTAAAAAATTTTTATTTTTAAAATATTTTTTTATATCTTAGAAAATTAAAAAGCAAATGTTTCATTTAAAAGGTTTATGTAAAGGGTCTTGTGTCTCTTTTTAAAATACGAAATTAATACTTTCCACGTTTCAACGAATTTAAAAATGATAATTAAAAATTTATAGGTCTCCAAACTTTGGGGGATAAAGAATAAAGAGTTTATAAAATAAAAGAACCCCCAAAATCCACAAAGAATTCTCGGATTTTCGTTATTTTTATCTAATATCTTTTAGTTTAATTTAAATTACTTATAATAATAGTAGTTTCTAAACCTGCAGAGAATTAAATATCTATAAATAAATTGGACAGCAACCCCAACACTAACAAATAAACTAATAAAAAACCAAAAATCATAAATTAAAATATTCCAAGGCCTCTCCCAATTATTAACTATTCCATTTTCTATAACAATAGCTATCCCATCTGCCACAAAAATTATCTTTAAAAATATTTTAAAAATTTAATTTTAATTTTTATAATTTACAGGTTGTACTAAATGTCCAAATATTAAAAGTGCCAAATCACAAAAACTTGTTTGTAAAATTATTTTTGCATAAACTCGCATTTCTTTTGGTGTTTTATTTGCTACTAGCCAAATAACAAATAAATTTAAAATACCCCCAATTGTTAAACAAATTATAGAATTTATATTATAAATTTCTTTTATTGGAAGTATAGGCTTTAAATTGTTTGAATCTAAATAATATTTTTTAATTTTTTTATTTTACTATAAAATTGTTACCGTTCATAAATGAAGAAATATAATTTAAATAAAATTAAATAATAATTTAAATACTGAAAATTAAAATATGTATATAATTATTTTATTTAAATATTCTTAATAAATTAATTAATTGAAAAATGAAATGATTTTGTTGAAAAAAATTTAAATAAAAATAAAATTTAAAATACATATTATTCACACACTCAAAAAGTATTTATCAAGAAAAATAAACGCTCAATCCCTCCCGGTTTCATTATATCCTTTTGAATTATTTATTTTAGTGAAAATTACGGAAATAGAAATTGCAAGTATATGTATGTGAGAAAGGTTTTCAACAAAAATTTTTATTCAAAAAAATTTATTTATTAAAGGGAGAAATAAAGAGATTTAACATAAAGATACATATAAAGCTTTTTTTTACCATAAATACTAATTTCCACGTTTCAAACTTTAATTTTCACACACTCAAAAAATTCCAGCGTTTTTATAAAAATAAAAATTCAAATAAAATTTTAATTGTATTTAGCTAATAAAAATATTAAAAATTTCTTTTTATTTAAATATTTTTATTCTTTTTGAATGTTATTGTTGAACTATGAACGGTTAGTTTCTAATGTCAAGGGAAAATATGTATACCTAATCTGGCATAAAATAAATATTTTTTTCTACCATAATAGGAAAAAAGTAATTATTTAATATACGGAAAATAATTAATTTATAAAGTAACAAACATTAAAAATAATATATATATTTAATAATAATAACAAAATACAAACTCTAAAATTGCAAACAAAAATAATAATCTAGTCTAAATATCGTCTTGATCACACTTGCTACCCAAACTAAACCCCAACTTAATTAAATATTTAAATAAACTTGTATAATTATTTGTTGTGAATTGTTTGAGTTAGATTTATTGAGTATTTAAAAAGAAGACATTAAACTTATTTAATATAGAAGAACCGGGATATAATATTGGTGCCACGACCCCGTTGCGAATTAAAACGGAGATTAAATTTGAGAAAAAAAAATTTAATTAAAATTTTGTTGAAGTGATTTTTATTTGAGGAATTTAGAAGAAGAAGATAATTTGTTGAGTGAAGAATTGATTGAAAAAAAGAAGAAAAATAAAAGAGTATATTGAAAAAAGGAGGAATTTTAAAAAAGAGAGATTGTATTGAAATAAAGAAGAATTTGAAGATAAGTTTAAATAAAAGAAGAGATTTTCTGAAAAAAAAAGATTAGTTTAAAAAAAGAGAATTGATCAGAGAAAAGTGTATAAAGTGGAAGAGAATTCGAAAAAAATTATTATTTTTGATTAAAATTTGAAGAAAAGAAGTGAGAAAATGTCAGGTTCAGATTTTGCTGCTGAGTTTTTCAGTGACGAAGAAAATAAAATATTTGATAAGATTTTGAGACAACTTCGCTCCTTTGAGCGCTCCGTGGCTCAAAGCTTTCGTCACGTTGAAGAAAGATTAGATTCCATTGAGGAAAGTGTAAAAAAGGATAAGGATAGCCTTTCAGGAACAAAAGGCTCAGTGATGAAAATACGTAAAAATGTTACAGACCTTCAAACGAATTTTGAAGAGAAAATGAATAAAATTGTTAAATTAGGAAATAAATGTAAAAATAAAATATTTGAAAATTTTGAGGAGGAAGAAGACAGTTCTATAGATGAATCTGATATATCCATTCGTGAAGCGAATGAGACTAGTAATGATATTAGAAAAAATAGAGAAGCTTATGTTACTGACCCGTTTATTGGAAATGGAGCATTTGTCGTGGGTACATTTGACGGAAATCCCACAGTATCTTTCACTAAGTGGATAGAGAAATTTAAAGATGTCTTATCTTTGATGACGGAGCCCACTGAAGCGCAGAAATTATTGCGTTTACGCTTTTGCTTGGCGGGTCAAGCACGTATAGCGTTTGATGGAATAGACCCCCAACCTAATACGTTGGCGGAGGCAATTACATTTCTAAAAAGAAAATTTGAGAACGGTAATAGGAAAATAATTGCTCGTCAAATTTTATCAAATTGTAGGCATGCTCCAGGCGAATCAGTATTTGATTTCGCTACTCGCCTTTCGGATACTGTCCGAACTGCCCTCTCAGGTGAAGAGGAAGAAACCATTAAAAAACGAATTTTAGACGAATTCCTGGATAGACTTTTACCGGATTTACAATTCGAGGTTAAAGCGCAAAGGCCGCTAGAATATGATAATGCGTACGAAATAGCACTGAATTATGAACTGCTGCTTGCAGCAAGAAAAGCTAACTATAATAATATTTCGGTTGCTAGTTTGGCAGAAAAAGTAGAGGTATCGACGATCGAAAATAATAGAAGGAAAAAGATCATCTGCTTTAATTGCAAGAAGGCAGGTCACATGGCTAGAAACTGCTTTTTCCTTAGACCTGAGTACAATCAGAAAAATTACAAACCCCAACATTTTGGGAGATATGATAATCGTTCTTGGCAGAATAGTCAAAGTTACAGTAGAAATTATAATAATTTTAAAGAGAATAGACATTATAGAGATGAAAATTATAATAATTGGTCAAATAATAGAAAAAGAAATTATCAAAACTACGATAGCTCAAGTAGTCGAAGTAGCCGCTCAAGTAGCAGCGAGCGAGAAAATAATTCACCAGACCAGGGATCAAATAATTACTATAATCGATCGCCAAATCGAATAGTAAGATTTGAGAGAAATCGAAGCCCAAGAATAGGAAGTGTGAGCCCATTTATGCTTGTAATCCTCGCATTATTCTGTTTAATTGGACAAGCTTTTGGCGCTCCTATAAGTTGCTTTAATGATGCACCCATTTCAACATGGAGATTGACAAATGATCCGATATGCTCAAAATTTACTAGAGGAGAAGATATTTTATTGGAAAATAAAACTCCTGCTTTTGAAAATGAATGTGCAAAAACTGATGTAAATAAATGCAGAGGCTTTTTTGATAGCTATATACAGAGAGAGGAGACATTAAACCAATTTAGTATAATAGTCTTTAGCTGTATTGTTACAGTTCTATTTGTATTAAAATTTGTTTTACGTTTGATATTAGCAGGCCCAATAAATTATTTAAATATTGGAGAATTATTTAAATATTATAGAAAGAAAAATAAAGGAATGAAATGTATTAGACAAATTAAGAACAAAATTAAATCAAATGAAAGTGAGTTAAAAGAGAATAAAATTCCACTTTCTAAAAGATGGCCCTCTAGGAATAAAATTAGAAGAGGAGATTTAAATAAAAATAGACAAAATAATATTAAAATTTGCGTTGCGGAAAATACCCAGTGTGACAAAAATTCCAGAATATTAACTAAAATTAACGGAATAACAACTATATGTTTACTAGACACTGGAGCACACACATCAATTATTAGTAATTCCAATGCCAAGAAAATTGGTTTAAATGATATGTCCGCTGCAAATTTTCCAGCTGTATATGGAATTGGCAATAAATTAGTACCGACTCTAGGTCAAGCTACAGTCGAGTTAGAAATAGCAAATTGCAAAATTCAAACAAATTTTGTAATTATTAAAGATACTGAGAAAAGGAATCAATCATATAGCGCCATTATTGGTAGAGAGACATTAAGTTGCTTACCCCTTATGTTGAATTTTACCAACTTGGAGCTTATAAAAATTCCGAATGATTATAAATTAATTAATTGTAGAGAATTAGACAAAATATCAAAAGTGATAGACGATATAACAATTAATAAATCTGCGAAAGAAAATAGAATATGTTTCTATTGCAAGAAAAACGGACATGTTGCCAGTAAATGTTTTTATCGTCATCCGGATTATAATCCGAAAGAATATCGCTTTCAAAATAAAGTTGAAAGAGAAAACGGAGCTTTTAAAGTAACGCATAATGACCAGCTACGGTTGAGAATTTCGCAGCTCTAGCCCAGTCAGAAATGACTGAGATTCTAAAAATATAGTTTGTTAAAAAATATTTTTATTTAATCATCATTTATCAAATATTTTAAATTTTTTATTGTTATCCTTAACTATTTTAAATTCCCCCAAAATATTCAATTAATTTTGTTTTGTAATTTTCTTTGGAATTGTAATTATTATGTTTAATGATGAACTTGGAAAATTATGGATCTACAACAAAAAGAAGATAAACAACAAACAGCAAATCCCCAGATTGTAAAGAAGAATAATTTATAATTTAAAAAAAAAATTGAACTACGCATAGCTTCATCAAAATACTACCTCCTCCTTTTTAGGAGAGATCTTTAAAAAAATGCCCATCAACAAAATCATACAATATGCAATACGGTTAAAAATTTAAATCCCGCTCAACATTGCGGAGAAGGAAAATATAATAACCAAAAACCCCGCAATGGGAGAGGAAATAGGTAATTCACGCATCTTTTGCCTCTTCGGTCAACTCAACCGTTAGAGAGGCAAGAATTGGCTGATAACCGTTTTCGTTATAAGACCCATGTTAGTGGAGAATATGATTGATGGATAATTTAAACAACACAAGAAAATATGGACATCAATTCTCTAAAGGGGAAAGGAGTGTTGGATACATGTCACAACAATTAGGCGAATATTCTTCTAAAGGGGAAAGGAGTGTTGGATCCTCATTTCGACGTTTAATTATTTATTTTTAAAATATTATTTTCAAATATTAATTGACCCCAAAATGTGCTGTAAATGTTTGTTATCTATTTTCCCATTTTAAATATTCAAAACATTCCCTCAAACAAACATTTACTTTGATCTTAAAACTTACTCTCATTTATTTTAAATAACTTATTTTCTTATCTATGCTTTACAACTTCCTCGTCTGACCTTCTTCCGCCCATTCCCTAAACATATAAATACTTTTTGTGTTCTTACCCATTTTCAAGCTCGTCTTGATCACACTTGCTACCCAAACTAAACCCCAACTTAATTAAATATTTAAATAAACTTGTATAATTATTTGTTGTGAATTGTTTGAGTTAGATTTATTGAGTATTTAAAAAGAAGACATTAAACTTATTTAATATAGAAGAACCGGGACATAATACCTATCTTCTGGAGATATGTAAAAATTTATGTTAAGCGCGCACGTCCCAGTTTATGGCTTGACATAAGTCTAGACAATAATTGGAAATTTGAAAGGACACATAAATGAAATATCTTTAAGAGTCCCATTATTTTATATCAGAATAAATAAATTAACCCAATTTCTGCTTTTGTTTAAACAAAATATTATATTTTATTTTTAAATATCTAAAAATAGTTTTCTTTAATTTAATAGAGTATTATTTATTATTTTATTTAATTAAATTTAATTAAAAATCTTTAAAAAATAATTTTATGTTTTAATTAAATAAAAATAAAATATAGCGAAAATAATTTTTAAAAATATTTTACATGTATTTCACCTAAAATAAAAAAATGAAATCACTATTTAAAAATAAATAAAAAAGGCCTAAAAAGGCAGATATATTTTTTGCTAGTTATTAATTAGAAATTGATACACTAAAAAATAAATAAATAATTATTATTTTATATTAAATTTCATTTAAATAAACAATGTTGAAATTGTTCTGTATGAATTAAAAAAATTAATTAAATAAATTTTATAAATCAAAAGGAATTTTTGATTATACAAAATTATTTCAGTTATGTAACTTAATAAATAGAATATATTTATGTAGTATATAAATTTTGTGCTAAACCAGCTGCTGGTTGTCATGAAAGTCCATTTATTGAAGACTTAATACCTCGGTTTATACTAAATTAAAGCTACGAAAGCAGTACTAAATTTATCTTTACCTACTTCAATTTTTAAAAGATAATGTTTAAAAACTTTAATTTAGGAATAAAATTTTTGTGATATATTTATTAAATTTTTCTTAGAAAAGTTAAATAATTTAAATAAAAATATATAATCATCTTTCAATATTTTAATTTTTAAAAATGCAAATATTTATAAAATTATCCAATTGAAATTTATTTATTTTCCCTCCAAAAACTTTTAAAATTTAAATTTTTCTGTTTATTAATCCTTTATTATGATCAATGATTATTTAAATATTTCCTTGTCAATCTTTTTCTTCCGCATCTCGGGATTTTAATTTTTAATTCCTGCTTAGACATGTGTTAAGAGGCAAGTAAACAATAGAGGAGAGAAGGCATTTAAATTACTTCCTTCCTCCCTCTCTTCCCTCTTGTTAAATTCTTTGAATTTTAAAATTTAATTTTTAAAAATTAAAAAAGAATGTTTTTGTCAATAATATTTATTTATTTAATTTTAATTTCTTCCCTTTTTTCTGCTGGAGAGCTACCAACTCCAAAACGTTTATTCCCATCCATTTTACCACCAAAATCTGTTCAACATAAAAAGGACAAATCATTTGAAAAATATAAATTTTCGACTCCCTTTAATGGAAAAATATCTTTTGACAAAGAACTTGAAGCTTTAAAAAGGCAGTCAACATCGGCAAACGAAAAATATTTTGAAAAAATTAAAAGATCTTTACCAAATATAAAGGATATATTAAATCCTTTATTAACAAAAGCTTCAGATCCGATTAGTCTGGATGCTTTTAATCGATTTCGTAGAAATTCTGTCGCTGCCTCACCATCTTTAACTTCTAATTCCCAATATTATTCTAAATGGAAGGGATTATCTCGGCTATTAAGTAAAGAGGTGGGGATTTTTAGACAAACTCCGAAGAAACGATTAAATGAAACAATAAAAGAAGTAAATTCCCCAAATGATTCAGATGAAAAACAAATTAAAAAAACAAGTTCATGGCCGAGAACGATTCCTTCTCCAAGATGTATATCTATGCCTAAAGTTGACAGAGGAAAATACTATTTTGTTGAATTTAGACATGAATTGGTTGATCCTGATCCAATTTATGTTGAATTTGAAGATGATCAACCATTTGATAATGGAGGTATTGCTGAAGTAAGTCTATCAAATACTTACTGATATACATATATAGTTGAAATTTAAAAAAAGAAGATTTTATTGGAAATTTTGTTAATATTAATTTGAAAGAATTCTCCGTTGGGAATTCCCAATTTTTAATTCTTTGTTTTGGGAATCGGGATCACCAAACCAAAAAATTACCATCCAGAGAAAATTCCCAATTTTATAAGCTGTCCAAATAATCAAAATAATATACCTCCATTAAATAAATAAATAATAGGTCTACAAAGGTATATATGAAAAACAAAATGTTGCTGTAAAATTGATAGGAAAGGAAACTGTTCAGTATCCGCCTCAGTTAATATGGAGACCTACAATCGACCAAATACTTACTGATCCAAAAAATGAAGTGAAAGTTTTAAAAGAATTTGAGAAATATTTTAATGAAAATAAAAAAGTTAAAAGACGTATAATTCAGCTTATTGACTCGTAAATAATTAATTATTTAAATTAAAAATTTATTTAAATTATTTTAGAGGATATGTCAGAAAAACTGATTTCCTTCTGAGAACGAACAATTATTTTGCTTTTATTATAATTATGGAGTTGGGGGAAGAAAATTTTTATAAAACAATGATTAAAGGTTTTGAAGAAAATGCAAAAAGTTTTTATAAATTTACAGAGAATGCTTTAATGAAAAAATTAATTGAACCTATTGAAGTGCTTATTCAAGTACATAAAGGTTTGTTTGAAAGTAAATATTATTCATTAATTCTATAAAGCATATAGCTTATTTAATTCCTAAGGCTGTGAAGTAGGCGGCGGTAATAAATAACTCATCAGCCCGGTCTACTGAAGATGCTGGTTCGCTCCCAGCTGCCGAATAACCTTTTACACTAGCTAAGGGAGAGAAATAGCTATATCCCAGCTGCTTTATTATTCTTATGGAATAAGTAAACTACATACTTAAACTGAAATATTATAAGTCAATTTAAAATAAAATTATTAATTTATATTTAATTTTTAGTAGCAATTCATATGGATTTTAAACCTCAAAACCTTTTATATGCAAAAGGAAAAAATTCAATTTTAAAAGCTATAGATTTTGGTGGAAGTGTATTATTGAGGGATAATAATGGAAATAGACGAAACAAAATAATTGTAAAAAATCCTACATCTTCTCCTTATTTTTTACCACCCGAAATTAATTGGCAATACCTTGATTTTGTTAAAGACAAAATTAAAAAAAGTTCCAACAAAGATAAATATAGTTTTGAAAGAAAGTTTATTGATATAAATGATAATATTATTGTAATTTTTTATAAAATATTATTGGTTAAAGATTTCTAATCTAAGCTTTTTTAATAATTAATTTTAAAAATAATTAAATTAAAAAATTCTTTTTAAAAAATAATTAAAATATTTTTAAAGCAAATTGCTTCAACAAAAACAGATAGTTGGGAATTTGGAATTATGATTTTACAAATGATACTTCTTAATGATACTGCAATAAATTATGTTGGAAATTCTAATTGGAAAAAAGAAATTGTAAAAAATAAAGAAAAATATTTTTAGTCTAATTTAAATTTTTAAGGTAGAAACTTTGTCTAAAATTAACAATTTTTACACAAATTCTGAGGAATGGATTGAAGGAGAAAAAGAGCAAATGGAATCATTTAAGGCAGAAATAAAATTATTATTGGAAATTAGAATTAAATATCCAATACTTTTTTTACTTTTATCGGTTTGATTTTTATATTTAAAAAATAGTTGATATCTATGCTCTCAATACCTACATAAATTCTCACTGTTCCCAACATTATAGATATTTATTTATTGCTCCAAAATAAATAAATAAACCAACACATCTCTCAGAGAGTCCATTAATCGAACTTAAAATTGTTGCCCTTTCTCTCTATTCTTTTTAAAATAATTTCTAAAATATTTTTTATTAGGCTTTAATGAATAAATTGCCGGAAGAACGACTATCAGCTGAAGGAATTCTTGATTTTTTGAACTTAAAATGCAATATAATTAATTTGCTATCATCTAATGCAACTAGTGGTTTCATTAGTATGCTAGATTTGAAAAAACGAAATTTATTTTCCTTCACTGAAGAACAGGGCAAATTATTAGAAAAAGGAGATAAAGAAGAAGAAAATATTTCGAATAAATATTATAAATTGAGAATTGCACCTTTATGTGACAAAAATTTTTAAATGTAAATATATGTATATAGTGAGGGACTTTTCTGTTATACACCCCTATATTGTCTTTTTTCCTCAAAAGGATTATGTGTACATACATAATTTGTTTTTATTTTTATGGGTCTTGTATTATGCTTCTGCCTCTGGATTTATGGTCTTGATACATGTTTTAGCTTATTTGTTCATATATTGGCATTTTAAACTATTAAGAAATAAAAAAGCCCCAATATAACAATAAAAAGCTAAAATTGTATTAATACCGAATGGATATAGGTTTAAAGCTAGATATCGTAAAGACCCAGAAAAAAGAAAAATGAATTTTCTGTCCTATTTCTAATCATTCTGTGGATGAAAGGAAATGTTGGTATTACTAAAGCGGAAAAGTACACAAATGTATGATAATTAAAGATATTAAATATATTTTTATATTTTTATTTAAATTTATTAAAAGATTTTTATTCAATAATTTGATTTTCTGTTTTTCCAATAGTCTCACAATCAGATATAGTAGTTTAAACAAAATTAAAATTTGAGAAAAAAATTTGTTTAAATTAATTTTAAACGTTAAAATATTAGAAAATTTAGGACAAAAAGAAAACATTCTCCAAATCTTTCCAATGTTCGTAATGTTATCTAGAATTTTGTTTTTAATGTAATTAATTAACTCGTCAACAACCGTGAATAATGTGGAAGTTTCAGGGTGATCAGAACAACTCCTGGGGAGCCTTAATTTTTTCGCACAAAACTCAAGACTATTTTATATTATATAAAAGATTATTAAATTACTTCTTTTAAATTTAAAATTCAATAAATAATTAAAATTAATTTTAAAAAATTATTAATTAAACTCAATAAAAAATTTGTATTTTGTATTTTGAGTTATTTTTTAAAAAATTATAATTAAAAGCTGGACTAATAATTATTCTATTAAAAGATAAAAATAAATATTTACCGTAAAAAAACAAAAAATTTTTTAAATTAAACTTGATTTTTAAATTTTGACCAAAAAAATAAAAATAATTTTATTTAAAATTGAATAGAAAAATACAAATTTGTATATTTTGGGAAAAATTTTTATTTTAAATTTGGATGGAAATTTTGGATGGAGAGGATTCACCTTCTAAAAAAAGGTTTTTTTGTATAATTAGCTTTAATTTTACCAATTTTTAAATAAAATTTAATTTGAAATTTAAAAGAATAAATTAATATTTTCTAAAAAAATTATTTTTTCTTAAATAAACATTTTAAATTTTATTTTATTTATTTAAAGGCAAATAAGCCCTTAACAAGTATCGAGTAAAAATTTAATTTCTCTCTCTTCATTTAAAAGAATTTTTATTTTTAGAATTGATTTTTAAATTAAGAAATATTTAATATTTTATTTAAAAAAAATTTTTTTAGAAAAAAATGTTTTTTATTAAAATTAAAATATTATTATTTTTAATTTTATATTCAATTAAATTAACTATTCAAGTTAATTTAGAAAATGAACTTGAGAATTTGGAAGAAAGTTTGTTGTCTTAATTAATTTATAATAGGGTTCAATACCGTCCCCAGAGACAGTGGTTCACCGGGGACGGTGGGGAGCTCGTCACTCAGAGCCACCATCCCCGTCCCCCTCAAACAGTCCTGTAAATATTGAACCCTAATTTATAATAAATAATTGTTTTGTTTTATTTAAATTTAATAAACTAATTAATTAGTTAATAATTTAAAATCATATATAAAAAAAGTAAATTAAAGGTATTAACGAAATATTTCAAATTATTGAAGATAAAAATTTAGATCCGAAAGATAAAAAATGTAAATGTGAAGGAGAATATAAATTTAATTGCACTGAAGGTATTTATTAAATAAATATTTATTTACATAAAATAATTATTTTAAGCTTGCTCTCCAAATGGAATTAGTTTTTTGGTTGAAGGGTTGGAGAAAAGTGATTTTGGATTGAGTTTAGGTAGTTCTGATTATCAAAGAAGTCGAGAGGCAAATGGCAAGTCATAATTTTAATTAGAAGAAAAAATGAGTTTCTAATTCGGTCTGGAAATAAAATAAACAGGATATGGAGGAGGTGTTGCCCGAAACAAGACATAGTTTCGACACGAAGCTTGATTCGAAATACGGTGACCCGAAACGAAATTTTTTCAGAGAATGAAGAATCCGGACTCTGTCTTCCAAAAAAATATATGTAATTCCGGCTTCCTGTTATATGTACACTGATACAAAATGTGTTTTTCTATACATTTCAAACCAAGACAATTCGCAAAAATCTTAACAATTATTTGTGTCAAATAAATTCCGTTCTGAATGAACAAGAGTTTTTAAATTTAAGGCTTTATTTATTGCAATAAAAATAGCTCCGACAACTTAACATTATTGAATGTGTTTTATGATAGTCAGAAAACTCCAGATAATTATGCCCCAGAAGTATATTTTTAAAAATAATTAAAACTTTTTAAAAATTATGTTTCAAGGCAATTCGCATTCTTTGCCTCGGAAGTGGAGGAATGGATAATTTTTGTGTTTGTAATAAAAAAGGAGATTGTTACACGCCCGTTAAAAATAATACACCAACTTATGTTGAATTGGCGCCTTATTGTGATCCATATGAAGGTATTAGGAAAGGCTTTTTAGGGATTAAAAGAAGGAAAAATAAATTACAAATTTTAGGTCCAAATGTTTATATGGAACTTTATAAAGGTGAACTTAATTTGGAAAGTGACAAGACAAAATTATATAAACAAAAATTTAACGATGGTCCCTTTGGTTGTGGCTCTGAATATATGAAAATTTCTGCGGTTAGCTGCAATGGATGTTCAAAAATTGGACAAGCAGTTCGTGAAAAAACATGTAAAGGGGAGTATGTTCCGAATAAATTGGACGCACAAAATATTCGAGATATTTTATTTGGCATAAAAGGAACAACAATTAATCCATAAAAACTAAAAGAAAAGGATGTGACAATTTCGCTGTGACAATTTCGGGATGTGATAATTTCGCCTTTCTTTTTTTTATTGACTTCACCTCTTTTTTAAATTCGGTTTTGGTAGACCTCTGCTACATATTACCCACTCCCCCTATCTATTTTATTTTCCTCGTAAAGCAAAATCTTTTATCTGATTAAATATTTCTTTTATTAATTTATTTCTCTTTTTTAAGTAAATTATTTAAATCTATTTTTATAAATGAAATGATTAAATTTAAAAATTTAATTAAAATAACTGACGGAAAATTAAGTGCAAGCTCCGAAATTATGAAATTACACGTTTGTTTAATTTCTCTCTCTCAATAAGACAAATTTGTAAGACTCAAATAACAAATAAGCTTAAAATTTTGTTAAAAATATTTAATAATTTATTGAAATTTTATTAAAATTAATAATTTTTAATAGTAAGTAAATGAGTGCTTTGGAATTCTCAAATAAAATTTCCCAAAATCCAATTATTTTACAAGATTTAAATTTTAAAATTAGTCAAATAATTATTGGAAATGTTCAATTAGATTTACATCCAAAAAAAGAAAATTTGCCTTTTTGTCTAAATAATTTTGATTTTGTTGGAGCAAAATGTTCGGTTACTTTAATTGAAAAAATTGGGGAAAATTTTAAAATGATTGTTGATTGTGCTAGTCCTTTTGAGAAAGAACAACTTTTTGAAGGTTTTTATCAAACAAATAAAATATTTTTAACAAAATCAATCCTAAATTTTTAAAAATCGGTGATATTAAACCTGACAGACGCAAATTTTTCCTCCCCAACTTTTTCCTGTATGTATATGTACAGATAGGTCAGACTTCCCTTCCATCCCAATTTTCCTTTCTTCCATAAAGAGGAAATAAAAATTAATTCTTCTTAATTGTTTGTAACCAAAATATAGAAAGGCAATGGAATGGAAGAAAGAAAAAAGTCTGACCATTCTGTACATATATAGAAAAAGTTGTGGAGGAAAAGAATGGGGTCTGTCAGGTTCAATATTACCAAAAAATCTCTCACAATTTAATTATTTAAGCATTAAAATTAAATGGAATAAATGATCTGTCACAAATTACTCATTTAGTAATTACCCATTGGCATATAGATCATTGTGGTTTAATTAATTTATTTAAAAATGCAAAATTAATAACACCAGAAAATATTAATTTAAAAGATTTTAATCAAATATTTGAAATTCCAAAAAATATTAATTTTAATAAATATTCTGGTCATTCTTGTGGCGATTTAATTGTTTGTATTAATTTAAATAAAAATAATTTGGTTAATTTTTAAAAATATTTTTTTAAATAATTAATTATTTTTTAGAATATTTCCGGTTTAGTTGACAAAAAATATTTTTTAAAAGAAAAAGAAAATTTTAATATTTTAATTTGTGGTTTGATTTTAATTAATTTTAGAAAGAAAAAATAATTATTTTAAAGGAGATATTTTTGAATTTGAAAATGATTGGTTAGGGGAAGAAATTTGGAAAAGTTCTTCTTTACTACCAGATAGACAGTCGATAGCTAGATGGCTTTGTTGGAATAAATCAGATTTTATTATACCTGGGCATGGGCCTGGATTTTCAATTTTAGAGAAAGAATATACTTCTCAGGGACCTGTTTTTGGAAAAATATTTGTTTGTTTTTAAATTAAAGAGATTAAATTTTGGGTATTTTAAATAAAAAATACTGCACTAGTGACCGGCAAAATCATTTTTCCGGGCCCAGAAACCCGATTTTGAATTTTATACTCATGCCGGACCGGATCCGGCCGGATTTTTCTGATTAATCCGGTCCGGGTTTAGTCAGGAAATCTAAAAAACCCGGATTCGGGACACGGTCTCCGGAAAATCCAGCCAGAGTCCCGTCCGTCACTGGCCACTACTATGAGTTATATGCCCCGTTAAGTGAAAAATAGATTTTTGTAGAAGATTTTTTAAAAATTTTTGGACTATTTTTTATTATTTTCAATCCAAATATCAATCAAAAGAGGGAAGAATGGAAGGACAATTTTAATTTAATTTTTATTTTTTCCAGTTTGAATCAGACAAAATTCCAATTTCTCCTCAAAAATCCAAAATAGAAATAAAAGAATTACTTCAATTTAATGTTTCTATTAAAGAAAAACATTTACTATCAATTTATATTTATTTAATTAAATCAATTAATTTAAATATTTTAGTAAATACTGGAGGTATAGAACAAAGAAATTGTTTAATTAAAGGTATATTTACCTAATTAAATAAAAAAATATTTTTTTTATTTTAAGCATTAAATTCAGAAAATCTTTCTCCTTCTTCCATTAATTTTGTTATAATTAGCTGTCCTGGAGAACATTTTTGTGGAAATTTAGCTGATTTTCCAACATCAACAATTTTTATGTGTACAGACATTGCTGTACCTGGTCCTTTTTATGCAACATTTGATCATGTAAATAATTATATTTATTTATTTTAAAAATATATAGAATTTCGTGAAATAAATTAAATTATAATAGATAATGTTAGTGGTTAGTGTGTGGAGTATTTGTATAGATTAGAAATCGAAACCTGGTAATAATGAATGGGTGTTAGATTTTTGTGTAAAATTTTAAAAATAAGTATGATAACCCAAATTTAAATTAGTCTAGTAAATAAAAATCAGAACCGCCCTATCTCCGCATCGAAAGAGAAAATTTTCATAGTAATAAATTTGAGTACCTATTTGGTTTTCGAAGAATATTAAGCCGGTTTCTCAGAATTCCTCTTCGGACGGGTTATTTATATTAAAATTGAATTAAAAAATAAATTTATTTATTAAAAATAAATTTAAGCATTTTACTTTTTTGGATGAAGATGGACAAATAAGTGTTTGGCGTGATTTAAGAACAGATTCAAGTGATAAATGTGTATTACAATTTTGGTTGATAGAGAAGGGGAAGGAAGGAATTTTGATTTTATTGGAGTTAAAATTGACGAATACCTTCTTACTCGTTTTGGGTTAAATGAAGAGAATATTTTGATTAGAAAAACATTTTATGAAATTCCAAAATGTGCTTGTTAGAATTTTTGTTAGAACTTTATATTTTTATCTTATATGTAATATACTATGTGTATATTTAATTTATTAATAAAATTCCCAGAAATTTACATAATATTTATATAAAAATTATATTTCCTGATGTTTTTTCTTTAGAATCTGAAAAATTAATTAGGTTTTATTAGTGATAAAAATTATTAAGGACAGTTTAATAAAACGAGGGATTGAGGGGGGTGACTTTGCTCGTTTTGATAATTTTAGAATATATTGGAGCATCAATAATTACATTCTAGGGATTTCGATGATTAGATAAAAAAAAGTTATTGACCTAAAAAATGCAAAAGAAGTTCTTTATTAGAATTGTTACCATGGAAATATTTATGTACTACTTCTATTTAAAAATATGTAAATAATAATAAAAATTAAAAAATATTCTTAAAAATTAAAAATGAGCGTTGGACAAGGAAATTGTTCTCTTAAAACAGCATTCGGATTTAGTTTTGCCCACAGATTGGTTGCTGCCGCTTCTGGTTCATTTGATGAAAGTGGTCATGAACAGTTAGTTGTTGGTACAGAAACTGGGAAAATTTGTCTTCAGGGAAGTGGTTGGGTTAAAATTTTTAAAACTTGAAAATAAATTATTTTTTGTCAGAATCTGTATTTCATGTAAATGATAAAATAAATTTTTTGAGTGTCTACAAACACAATAGGAAAATAAAAGAACAATCCATCAAGTCTTCAGATAATTCTGAGTATGATATTGTGATTATTGGCACAAGTGTAAATATTTTTTAATAATAAATGATTTAAATATTATACATAGTAGGACCTCTATTTTACGATAAAAATTATACGTATGTATCAAGGGGTATCCATTATTGGGAGAGCTTTCCTCACCCATCTCTTAACGAATTTTAAAAAATGTATCTAAAATTGAGTGTGTATTTATTATTAGGTGTATGTAGATCTAACCTTATACATATTTATTTTAATTATTTTTAGAATAGTTTAATGGCTTTCGATGTATTTAATAATAAAACAATTTTTCATCGTGAAATCACAGAAGGGGTGAATTTCATTAAAGTTAATGAAGCATTTAAATATTTTTAATAATAATAAAAATTTTAAGATTGGAAATATAGATGAATATAAAAATGAAAATGTTATTATTTGTGGGTGTGGAACAACTATTTGGGGTTGAAATAATTATTGAAATTATTTTAAAATTAATTTTGATTAATTTTTAGGTTTCCAATTAGATGGAAAGGACTTATTTTGGACTGCTCTTGGTGATCAAATTAATGTGTTAGAACTGTGTGATATGGATGGGGATGGTCTAAATGAAGTTTATAAATAATGATAAATATTTTATTTATTCTATTATTTCTTTAGCTAATTGTAGGCACAGATGGAATTGAAATTAAGGCAAAAATATATACCTATTTTTATAAATTAAAATTAAAAATATTTTTAAAGGTTCTTAAAAACGCTTCCTTTTTTGCTGAATTCGATGAAGGAGACCCAACATTAGCTATTATTGCTATAAAGTTAATTTTTGTTTTTACTTAGTAATTATATTTGTTAGTATCTTAACAACCCCCTCCCCACTCCCCTATTAAAATGTTTAGGCCAGCAACTTTTGCTTTTGGCCTTTCATCTGGTGTTGTTGGTGTTTATGGACAAGGTGAACGTCTTTGGCGTGTCAAAACAAAATCAAGAATTGTATCCTTACTTTCATTTCCTGATCAAAATCACGTTGCCTGTGTTTGGCAAAATGCAAAAGTAAATAAAATAAAAAATATTTTTGACAATAATATTCTTCTTTTAATTCCCCTGAGATTGATATTCGTTCTGTATCTACTGGAGAGATTCGTACAAAAGATCAATTAGAAGGCGGAGAATTAAGTATAGCTTTTTTGGTGGATTTAGCTGGCGTTGGTCCTTTGGA